ATTCTGTTTTCCAAAACTCCCTTGGCTTTTCCCTAATGCACATTTATCACCTGGAAGCTTGAGAACCTAAATATAATAGCTACCATTTTCTTAGGGCCTACTATGAGCCAGGTGATCTCACATACAATACACCATATCATCCTCTTGACAACATTGAGATATAAATTATTGTTCCTGCTTTAAAGCTAAGAAACCGAAGCTCAGTTAAATCAGGACTTGTTCAAAGACATTTAGCTTTGTAAGAATACTGTAAACATCTGGAGTTGGGCTGTGGGCTGGGGTCATCCTTTATTCTCTGTACTATATGAATTAAATATCAACTCTGTTCTGTCGTATACATAGGAGATGTTCCACCTGGAATTAGGAATACTATCTGCCTTATGCAACACGGGACCTGCAGACTTTTTTTCTGCCGTTCTGGTGAAAAAAAAGGTGACATTTGCTCTGATCCCTGGAACAGGTGCTGCATACAAAATATAGGGGAAGAAGACAAAGAGAAAGCAGAGAAGGATGGCAGATCTGGGATCTAAATGTAAGCTCCCAGAAGGCAGAGATCTTGAAGTATCCCAAGGGCTTAAAAGAATGTGTGACTTATGGTAGGTGTGCAATAAATATTTGTTGAATGAATATAGCACCAGAGGTAATGCTCTTATGAAAGAATTTTCTTAAAAAGTTTCCTTACTTTTCGATTTTCTGTTTTTATTATTAAAGGGCCTAGGAATTTTGTAATATTTCACTTTCTTTCCCCATTCTAGGGTGTATCTCTTACTTACCCAGCGATGGTGCTAGACTAGAAACCAAGCTTCAAACTTATTTCCAAAGGGACAGAAATTCAGCCAATCTCCTGGCCTCTTTTCTACCTGATAACATCTTTTTAAATCAGACCCAGCACCAGCCTGCTCCTTCTTATTCACCCAGACTGTGATGAGCCTTATCTTTCCTCCATAGCCTCCTCCAGTAATAATATCAGGAGCTCACATTTAAGTAGAATTTTATTGTTTTCGAACATGTGGATTATCTCAATTGATAAATACAACAATTGTATGGACTGTGTAATAAGGTGTAAGCAGTTCCATTTTAGGGGTGAAAGACAAATGAAAACCATAAGGTTAAGCAAATTGCTTCTAGGTTAGCAGTTTGGGATTGCTTGGTATGCCTAATTAATCAAGTGTTCATTCTTCCATGTTACTTATAACGAGTATATTTCCAAGCAATGAAAGCAAGGTACAGCCCTTATTCATGAAGATTCCTTAACCTTCAACAATGCTTTTCCCTTGGCTTTTCTCTGGATTCTGCTCAAATTTGTTGTCCATACCATACCTTCGAGCCAGTCATCCCAAGGATAGTGAATATTAATTACAGGTAAGAAAAGTAAAAAATAATAAAGTCAATTGTACTGACACATAAGAGACCACATGTCAAGCTTTTTCTAGACTAACAGATAGCTTGATAACACCTTGTTTCCGTATTCCTGTTCATAGCCTGAATCCAGTTTGCTCATGAATAATCTGAACCTACTTTAGGAGCCACCTAGAATATATACGTTTGGGATCCTCTCTCAAGTTGCAATGAATATTTAGCATAATGCCTTTGGCCTCTCCCCGGCCTCTTGTAAACTCACTCCTGTTTTTTATTTTCTGACTATAATCAGACAGACCCCTGATATTGCACAGAATGTAGCCTCTCTCAGGCACGGTCATCGCTACAGAGCCCTCTGTCATCCCCTCCAAGGAAGGAGTACCTCTGCTACACCAGAAGTGAATGCCTGCCTGGGAAGGGTGTTGGCCCCAGGGTTAGGCTTTGTTCAAGTGAAACACACAAATCTCCATGCCTCAGGACAGGCAGACACATTCTCAGTCAGGAGTGCCACCATTCCATGCCCATCAGGTCTGTGCGCCACAGATATAACATACGGTGAGGGCAGGCCTGTGCCCAGAATACCGGGGAACCGGAAACTCCTTCTGTCTTTTCCACTGAGCATGTGCCATTCGTCAGCCAGTCCCTTCTCTTGGCCTCATTTTCCTCAAAAACAAAATGAGGGAGCTGGGCTAGATCTCTGCGACCCCGTCACAGCCGACCACCTGTGGGTGTAGAATCAGTACTTCATCAGTGGTCCTAGTTGGGGTCTCCATCAAGTGAAGCGAGGAGGGAGAACCTGTCCCATTGCCTTCCTCCTGCAGCACTGTCAGGTGAGAGCCTGTTAAGGAACCTGTAATGGAGTCCAGGACTAGCCAGGAGGGGATTTGCACAAGG